TTGCTATAATCAGTCATATTTCTTCTGAGGTTATTGTAAAGAGGGCATTCCAGAAGAAAGTGCATTTCATTTTTAATAGAATTTGAATTACAATATAAACATATCCTCTCATGTCGAGGTAATATTTCATATTTACCACATACATTGATAAAACGTTCATGTCTGCCAGTTTCTATTCTTAAACAGTGATTGCTGAGTCTGTATTTTGTTAACAAATGTTTTTGGGGATGCTGAAAATCTAAATAATTTTCATAGTCAAATGACCTCTTGAATGAAAAATAAGTGTCCAATTTGCCTTGATTCTGTAAATAAAAATCTCGCATTTTCTTCCAATCATTTTGAAAATTTAATTTGAGCTGTTTTTTCAGTAAATTTTTAAATTTATTTTTGCCTAAATTTTTACATATATTTAGGTCAATACCCAATTTTCGCTGTAGAAAATGATATTAGAGAGCCATTAATTATTGGAGTTAGTTTGAGCTTTACTCTCAATCATATTAACTCAGCATAAGCACTTTTCAATAAATCAGATGGGGAATTCTCTAGTCTATGCCAATACATAAACATATGTGTTAGCAAATTTATATAAAGAGGATATCTACCCAGTTCAGACAGGACTGCTACGTTTGTGCACATCTTTGTAACACCAATAATATACTTGCAAAATTTTAGATTTAGCTTCTCAAACTCCCAATCTTTAAATATGTCATAAAGGGATAATTTTTTCCTTTTAGGAGTAATGTTAATAACACCACAATTTTCACAACCATACGTTACAATTGGCTGTATACAATGATCAAATAAATGCAAAATAGTTTTAATAGGATTTGATGATTTCAAATCTTTATACAGTTTAAAACTGGCCTTTTGACCTTTTTGGAATAATTGTTTCCTGGCTTCATTAAAGTTTCCAGTATTTTGGATGACTATGCCAAGATATTTGTATTGTTTAACACATTCGATAGAATTATTTTCTATCTTGAAATCTTCATTAAGGAGTCTACCACTCCTATTGAATATAATAATCTTTGTTTTCTTCACATTTATTTCCATACACCAATCTTTGCAGAATGTGCACAAAGTATCAAGTCTCTTCTGAAGCCCTTCTTTTGAGTCGGATATTAATACAAGATCATCAGCGTATAGTAGACATGGTATCTTTTCATTATCTAAATTGACATTATCATAATTGTTTGACAATATATCTGGCAAATCATTAATGAATAGTTTAAACAATGTGGGACTCAATACGTCACCTTGTCGTACACCAACATTATATCTAAAAAATTCAGTTATTTTGTCTTCTACTTTGACACACACTTTTTCATTACTGTACATAGATTTCAATATGTTATAAAAAATACCATTATTTGTATGTTGTAATAATTTGTATAATATACCAATATGAATAACCTTATCAAAGGCCTTGCAAAAATCTACAAAGCATACATATAAGATACAAAAGGAACTCATACGTGTGTTAAAATGCTTCCAATCATTGTCAAAAATTGCAGTAGACAGCATTTTGTTTTCTTATTTTAATAAAAATGATTGGATATACTGATTAAATAGTTATGATTAGTCGTTAAAATCCGATTGATATCTGAAGGTCTATTTGTTGATTGTGTTTTGTTGTCTAAGGGATAAATTCTGGTTTTCCATTTTAAAAACTATAAATAATGTGACATCCCTTTAAAGGTTTCATGTTCCTCTTCAGTCTGTATTTGAAATTGCAGAAATTTAATTAATATTTAAAGTCTTATAGTTTGGGTAAGTTGATATGTTCTTGCTTACGAATGCACTAAACTCCTTTCATTTATCGTTTGAAACTTGTATTTTACTGTTATAACTTATTTTTTTACAGTACATATTTAATGTTCGGCATAAAAGCACGAACAATATTCCCGTTCGGAGTAAAAGCCCGAACAATAGTCGATATATAAAAAATAAAAATATTTTAAATCATATGTTTTCTTTTCGCATTATATTTTCACCGCTAATACTTTTACACGTTCAAAACTTTAACATTCCTCTACTAAAACTATCTACATCATTATTTTTTTTTTTTCCATCAAAGCAGCATGCCCAGACACAATAAATTACATTCGGCATAAAAACTCGAACAATAATCGTTATATAAAAAATAAACTATCCAAAACTTATATGTTTTCTTTCCTTATTATATTTCAAAAAACTTGAACAATTTTCTTTTATCTTTTCTATTCACGTTCTAGCATTTAACCCAAACTCTAGACAAATTGCATTGAATTTTAAAATTTATAGAAACATAAAAATATAATAAATTACTAGATTTTCTTTGTCTTCACATTCAAGTACCCAAACAAACATTTTATTGGCCTAACTTAAAGAACTTTCCATTCTTCCGTTCTCACTTTTCTAAACAAATATTTAAACCGTAAAATAGGTCTATATGTGCCCGTTCAAATGTGAACAAATTATTTAATTAATATGTAACATTTCCGTCCCATATTCAGTATGAAAATACCACAGACGTACAACTGGCGTTCCGATAAATTTCCTCTAACACTTTCATAATTTGTATTCCAAACTCTTAAAAACTAAAATATGCCATTTATATACACAATATATACCCATATACTATGACTACATAATACGTTAATATCTGTATTAATTAACTTTTACACTCATCGTATTCTCTTCTCATGAACCGTTGCTATATCAAATAAGATTCAAAAACTCACCCCTGACGATTTGTTTTCTGATGTTTTAGCCTTTTTCTTAGGAGGTTCTTGTGTAACCGTATCTTCCTTCAATTCGTCTTTCTGCTCCAATGCAAAATTCACAATTTTGCATAGATTCTCTCTGGAGTCGTCTATATCTAGAAGCACTAGAATGTCATTTAAATGCAACTTTATATTAGTGGCTACTTTCAATAAGTCTTCTCTACTGAATGTACTCAAACACTTCCCGTCAAATTCTTGAAGTTTAGGATCCTTGTCCGATCGATATCGCTTAATTATTTTTAGGAGATCCATTATGCGTCTGCACGATCGTATGACCTCCAATCGAGTGACGATGAGACTAAGAGTGACCGTGCTATCTTATACATTCGAGGTACCGAAGGGGGAACTTGGAATAGCTTGTTCATTTGGAATAATAAAACACCACATGATTCAGATAGTAGACATTTGAAATGTGTTTCTACAAACGTAAATTTAGAAATCCTAATATATAAATAGTAAATTTCAGTTAACAGACCAGCAAAAACTGTTTTTGTGTAGTAGAAAAATGACAGAATTTTTCAACTACTGACGATTTACAGTCAAAATGTATTTTCCAGACCAAAAACTACTGTGTAGTGATTGATAATATATCAGCAGTGATAATAAAAATGAATTAAATCCATACCCGTCCACACATAGCTTTTGTTTGTTGACAATAACGCTAACAAGTACACGCCATACCAAACAACGAATATATAAGGGTTTGAGAGTATACAGAATATAGGGGTTTACGCATAAAAGAAAAAAAAACATTTTTGATTAACAAAAGATACCGATCTTTTGGGTAAAGCAAAGTGCAACTGATTTATTTCTTATGTTTTGCTGTTACATCACTGTCCAAGGTTAGGGAAGGGTTTACCGCTCATAAACATGTTTAACCCCTTCACATTCTTTATGTGCCTGTCACAAGTCAGGAGCCTGTAGTTCAGTGGTTGTCGTTGGTTTATGTCTGTAATATTTGTTTTTCGAAAATTGTTGTTATAAACGAGGCCATTATATTTCTTTTGTTTAAATTGTTTCACATTTCTTATGTCGGGCCTTTTATAACAGGCTATACAGTATGGGTTTTTCTCACTTTTGAAGGCCTTACGGTGATCTTTAATTGCTTACATCCACATCAGTATAACTATAGTAAATAGCTGTCTCATTGGAAATCATACCGCATCTCCTGATTTTTATACGCCCGTTTACGGGACGTATTATGGTATACCGTTGTCCTTCGGTCTGTCCGTCCGTCGTCAATATGTCGGACAATAACTCAAAAACCCTTCAACCAATTTGCATGAAACTTTGGTGAATTGTTTATATCTATTGACGTTAGCTCCCTTTCGATTTTTATAAATTTTAGATTATACGTTTCCGAGTTATGGGGTTTTGTTCATTAAAAAAAGAGGAGTTTCTAGGTTTCGGACAATAACTCAAAAGTGCTTTCAGCAGTTTTCATAACACTTTGGTGACTGGTTTATATCTATTATAATAACCTCCCTTTTGTTATTTTTCTTTTATAAATTTCTGATATGACATTGAGGAGTTATGAAAATGTATTCATTAAAGAGACGGGTGTATCATGAACTCATGGCGCAGCTCTTTATTAAATGAATAACATAATTAGGATATCATACTGTAATGCTTAGTTACTTGACAAGTCGTTGAGCCAAGAAAATAAGTTTTAGCTGGCATCTTAACAGTTTGTATGCTAGCCATTACTCTGCACATGATGACATATTGCATTATTGGAATTAAATAATGAGTGGTACTACCACAACAAATAGATTAGAAACTAAAAACAAACGATCATTTTTGCAGCTTGCATCTGAGAAGACACCACGATGTCAAACACTAAGCAAAACGTTTATACGAACAGCAGTTTCAGAATAGATATAGCCGATGCAGAGTACGAGGAGGTGATTGTAGAAAATCATTCAACAGTGTACGATGATGCACTTTCAGTACAAAAGGCAGAGCCTTCCAATGTTGTCCGTACTACACTTCCAAATATTCCCCAAAGAAAAGCAGTCATTCATGGTCATCAAACAATTCAAATCTCACTACCGTTGTTATTTCTTATCATTATTTGTTCCATGATTGCAATATTTCTAACAGGTGTTGTAACATTCTTCATAACAAAGTACACATTACCAGAAACACAGTGTAAGTATATACTTGTACTCCTATTTAAATTCGGTATTTACACATGTGTCTTCGACATATTATTTATTATTCCACAAGAATTTCAGAAATCAAACCATTGTCAGTGCGTACGACATAAGTTTTTTTTAAATCATTATCTTCATTGTAACACTGTAAACAAAACGGAAAAAATGTTTTTAATATCGAAATATTAACTGTTGGTCGAGAAGATAGTTTATACAAAACAATATGTGTCTGACATTGTGACTGTTACTTTAAATTATTAAATGTTTTATGTTTAATTGACGCAACAATCTTATGAACCTGATAAAGGTATGTGACAAACATATAATGCATTTTTAATTGATTACTTCACATATACATATCAAGAAAAATAAATAAAAGTTATCTTTTTAAAGAGTATAAGTAAAGAATTTACAAGCATGTTTTTTTTATTATATCCTTAAGTTTAGCCTTCATGTTGTATTTTGTTAATTCTCAGTTTGTTTTAGATGCAGAGGAACAAGCTTGTTACTGGTCATCCTGGAGCTTTTGGTCCAAATGCAGTATTACTTGTGGAAACGGAGTACAAGTCAGAATAAAACAACAGATGAATAATACTAGGCTATGTAGTTACAATGAAACACATGATAATAAGATCTGTTCCAGAGGCACTTGTCCAGGTATGATTATGTTTAACATGAAACACTTTTCCAACTTTAATAGTCAAATTTATGTTTTACTGTGACTTGACTGTTAGTGTTGCTCTCCATCTATTGCAACTTATTCAAAATTCTGACCAAATTGCAATTTGTTTTATAAAACCAAACTGTTGAACTGGTCAGAAATTTGAACAAACTGCTGTAGAAAATCACAGTCAAGTCGTGGAAGTGCAAAGTGATAAAATAAATCATACTTACACTCCTATAAGACATAAATTCCACTTCAATGTTATTATGAAAAATTAGTCTAACAGTTTGAATAGAAATTTTATTGTTATTGTCATGCTAAAGGTGATGGATAGAAATTTTGAATTGCTATAAAATGTCCAAACTAAGCTTTCATACATTTTTTCTTTCGAAAAGTCTTCTATATTCATAAGAATCTTATATTAAGTAAAATATATGTAAAATTACGATATGTTGTTAATAAATTTCTATGGGAGATAACATAAAACATTATTCTTTCGAATATAGAAGACTTTTCGAAAGAAAAATTGATTATCTCCCATGGAAACTTACTAACAACGTATTGTAATTTCACACATATTTTACTGAATATAAAATGTTTTAATTCAAACGATGGGCGTACGTAGTCTTCTTAAAAGAGCTATTGCCTATAAATAACTATGTTCTTCCATGTTTGTAATTTGGCTATAATCTTGAGGAATTTTAGTAGGTAAAAAGATCAGCTTTACAAGATGTATTTGTTTAATTACTTGAATTCACCGAGTTGCATATTTAAAGAAAGAGGAATATCAAGTGAACAAAATATCATTCCCACAAAATCTGGTTATATTGAACGCTTTTGTCATTTTTTATACCGACTTCCAGTTTGTCATACTGTTAGAACTGTATGAGATTAGGAACCTCCATTTTCGAGGGCGCAAGGTAACGCTAAGAAGTCACGAGAAGTGTGTAAGATAATTGTTTTCAATCAAAAGTGTTTTAACCAACATAATTGCATTTCCAGTGGCAGTTTTTATGCACTCCTTACAACTTAAACCAACATTACAGAACACACTGATGTATTGTGTTGTTTAATTCCTGTTCGCCCTGTTTTTATGAGGTTAGTGTTACTCAGTCTTTGGTTGACTGCGGAGTGTAGGTAAGACTGTTGTTTGTCTTTTTGTCGTTTTTCTTTTTGGAAATATAAAGTATTGTTTGTTTTTCTACGATTCGTGATTTATTATCATACCTGTCAACTGACCCGTTTCCTGCAGGTTACACCCGAGAATTTCACCCAATTCCCGGTATTTTTTAAATACCTGCCGGTTCGTTAAATAACCCGGGAATTCGGAAAATGACCAGTTTTCACCCGGATTCTTGAGCCTTTAGACTGATTTCATAAGTGATTTTCCTATGAAATACCGGCAAATTCGTAATTCTTCCTGGACAGGAAGTTCAACTAACTGTGTTAACTGTCAAATTATGTGACCCATTAGATGCATGGCTTCACTTGACAGCTTTAGTGCCAAACACACTGTTAACTTAAATAACACCAATTACCTAAGCTTAAGGTCATAAATAATTTTTCTATTTCAAAGTTGTTTGACAATACATTTGAGTAACTTCCCCCTTTTTGTCACCTTTCACAATATACTCCTTAATTTTATGTTTGTGTTTTGTAAAAAAATTTAATCTAAAACAAATTGAATGCAAATACATATCAGAATATTACTTTCTTTTATTTTTCTACCTTAGAACAGTTAAAAAATTATTTTGAAAATTATTTTTTTATCTCTACTACCTTTAAATGCTTATTTTTTTATGAAATTCCAATATCAACAAACTTAGATAATCTGCACATTATTATACATACTGGGAAACAAATAGCTTGAGAAATGATTTAAAACTATGAAATAATCAAGAAGAGGGAGTATGGCTTGGCTTGAAATGACAAATTATAACACATTTATAATTCAATGGATTATTATGCAATGAATAAATAAAATTAAAGTTTAAAATTATTTTCAGTTAGTACTTTACCATGTGAACACATTTTGGAATCTGTTCGATTTAAAATATAAAGAAATGTCCCCTAAATACTTAAATTCAGCTGAAAAAAGTTGGTAAGCGTTATGACCTGAGTTTTTGTCTTCAATGCAGGTTATGACCTGCATTTTCATTTTCATAGGTTGACTATATGTTATTATACCTTTGCTATCTGCTGTCCCTTCGTTTATAGATTTGAATAACATATTGCTAAGCAAGCAATCATTTCTTGATCAGTAAAATATTATCAATTTGTAAAAGTCTGTCAAAGTTTTTAAATAAAACGAATTGAATAATGTATCATTTACCTTGGACTTAAACAAATAATGTAACTCATTCGTTTCTTTTAAATTCACATTGAATTCGAAAAATGCAATCAATGTACAGACCTAACTTTTAGTTTTAAGTCTATGAGCACAATAATATACAATTACAAGTACATTACAATGTATTGATATCATCAATAAAAAAATTTGACTGACTTATAATCTATTATTATTTCAGTTGACGACGTTCTATTTGACATGAGATTTAGTCGAAAATCAATGCATAAGAAATTGTTTATATCAGCTGATAATACAATCCTAAGTAACTTCCATACCATCGAAACTTCAAGCAGTGATGAGGCACAGTTACAGAACTATAAAGGAACGATTTCCGACATTTGTGTAGGAAACAATGAATTAATTTACTATGAAGTGAACTATACATACACAATAGTCAATAAATTAAATGCAAATTATGCTGTCCTAGAAGTAGGTTTAGCAGAATGTTCCAAAGTAGACAGGTATTACTACGTCGGTAACAATAATGTGAGTGGATGGTCTTTCCACCTATTCCGGGGTTCGAAAGTTGATAAAGTGTTCTTGAGGTCAGAAAATCCTCATGATAGAAAAACTTACGAATCATTTAGTAATAATGCAGTTGGTATAAAAATCCACGGCAAATTTAAATTGTTCATAAACAGACGGAGAAATGAATTCTCGCTGAGACACGGCGAATCGATCTTCCATTTCTTCAAGAATGTGATCTCAAGTGAAACCCTTTGTCCTGTATTTGGGGTGTACAATTCTAACCGAGTGCATGTCAAATTGCAATTAATGAATCCTCGTAACTATACTTATTATCCGTGGTGAAACATTCAATCGGTCTCTATCAATATTCAATGATGCTTTAATGAACATCTTCATGCTCCTCAATGTTTTGTCTTTCTGTGTGGTGTTATGTTTACTTCTGTTTGTCTCATTAAACTAGTTTTTTCTTTTTTGTTGGTCATTGTGCTGACTGTCTCTCTTCAAGTACTTGTTTTTATCACCCCCTTTCTATCCTCTAATTTTCATGGTAGGTTTAATATTATAATTTACTCTTATTGATCTAGAAAGATAAAAAATGCTTCAAACAAGATTGATTGTACACATTTATACTAAACAAGATGCTGTATGTCTGTTTCAACTTTCAGACTAGATTAATTAAAATGACTCTCTTTCTTATTTTATATCAAATAATATGACACCACACTCAACACAGAAAAAGAAACACAAGAAATTATATAGTCATATTTATGTAGTCTGGATTCAATTTAGGTCGTACTTAATCCTCTTTGATTTAACTTGAAGATAACTCCTTATGATAAGATCATTTACCAAAACAAGACGTCTTGAGTTTCCTGTCATATGCTTAATATTAATTCACTTGCTTCAAGAACAAATGAAAATATAACTAAAAACATTACTTAAAAAAGTTCAATAACAATGTACCAAACTAATAAATACAAAAGAAACTAACATCATTTCTAAACAAAACCCTTCACAATATGATAAAATGAAGATATTAAACTAACCAAATGTTAATCTAGTAATACATGTAGTTTTATGATCATTAATTTTTGGTTTCATTATAAATTTTGGATAAAAAACTGTCAGTGTTTCTTAAACGTAATCGCCATCACAATACTGGACCAATTAGACTGTCCAACGGTCTACAAGCTTCCATTGGGGCGGTCAAATGGCGGCTAACATTTTGATCAAAAGAATAGATAGGAAGCGATAACTGTACACTTATATGCAATTGATCGTATAGAGTGAGAAATGTATCAAACATTTTACATGTCTACCTATACAAACGTTTTCCTTAGTATTAACTTAGATAGAATAAAACAAAATCCTACTTTGTTTCATACATATGATCAATGATTGATTGACTGTTGGTTGCTTAACGTTTAGTGGAAATGATCAATGAAGATACAAAAGAGATGCAAAAGATAACATAGGTACATTCAAACTCATAAGTCGAAAATAATAAACTGACAACGCCATGGCAAAAAAATAAGGAAAAAGACCAAAAGACAAACAACAGTAAACATACCATTGACACTTCAAGCAGTGATGATGCACAGTTACAGAATTATAAGGGAACGATTTCGGACATTAGCATAGGAGACAAAGAATTAATTTACCATGAAGTGAACTATATCTACACAATTATCAATGCACTAATTGAAACTAGACTTGTCCTAGAGTTAGGTTTGGCAGAACGTTCTAAGGTAGACAGGTCTTTCTTCGTCGGGGCCGAAAGTGTGGATGGTCTTTTATCCTGTCCCAGGGTTTACATATTGATAAAGTGTACTTAAAGTCTATCGATGCTGGTTCTCATCGAGTTTGGGAATCAATCAGTAATAATATAGTTGGTACAACAGTTCATGGAAAATTTAAACTTCATAAACAGACGGAGAAATGAATTTTCACTGAGACAAAATGATTCGGTATACCATGTCTTTAAGAATGTGACATCAAGTGTGAAACTTTGTCCTGTATTTGCAGTGTACAATCCCGATTCGGTTCATGTTCAATTGCAGTTAATGAATCCTCGTAATTGTACTTATTATCCATGGTGATACATTAATTATATTCGTATCAGTTATAAGGGGAGGCGTTAATGAACATATACATGCTTCTGAAATTTGATATCCAAAATAAGTTTACAACCCCTAAAAGTATTTTTGTTTGTCAGCAAATATAATAAAATTAAATTATCCAAAGATTTAACTATTTTTTCCTTGTGTACAGCATTGCACTAAGTATCCCTGACATAGTAGTTATTAGGTATTCAGGGGGAATATCTAATAAACGTAAATTGATAAATTATATTCCAATATTAATGATGTCCAGTGTACCGGAGAGGTCAATTTCTATCCGAAATTATTGATATAATGGTTCATTTATCCGGCGTGTTTGTACATTACGTTATAGATAATGTATATTTTAAAGTTGTTTCTGTCATATAGCATTCCAAAACGTCAATTATGCTTTACCTGACATATATACCGTCAGCAAATATTGTTTTTCTCCAAAGTTTTGCAGGAAATTGTATCCTATTTTACCTTTCTTATTTGAGTGCGATATTCGTTTCTGTTGCGTTATGTATATTAGGTATAACCGCTCAATTATAAGGTGAGCAAAACTCACAAATCAGGATATAAAGGTGAGTAATCACTCTCCAATTAAAAATACCTATTTTGATCACAGTAGGTATAGTGTCCGGCTGGGACCGTGTTATGAGCAAACTTAGAAAAAAACAAAAGCCATGTGGATTGGCTCAAAAGTACATTCAAAAGAAATATTTTACCAAGAAGAAAGATTAAACTCGAATCAGACAGGGAAATTTAAACTTTTAGGTATAAACTATGATATTTTTGCTGTCGACAAGACTGCATATAAATTTTAAAAATAAATTGAAAAGATTAAGTCATTATTAAATACTTGGATTTACCAAGATCTTTTATACCTAGGAAAAATAACAGTCATAAATTAAGTCTTTTGCATTGCCAATTCTCATTCTGTCATTAACAATATAGCCAAATCCCTCTTTTGAAAATTTTAAGAAAATTGAAAATATTTTTTAAAGTTTCTATGGAATGGTTAACCAGATAAAATCAAAAGAAATGTTCTAATAGGATTATAACTGCATGATTCTGGTGGACTAAAGATACCTCATATTGGATCCTTCTGTTATGCACTGAAAATAATCTTTCTCCTTGGGAATTCTTTTCAATGATAAATATAGAAAATATGGTGCAGATAAAATGTGGGTGATGATTTTTGATAAGATTTCCAGTCTTTGATTGAAATTATACTTATGTAAAATATAATGTATTTTAAGCATATTATTGTACATTCATTTAAAATGAATCGGATGTAGTCGAACTGTTTTATAGGTGTATATGTAAATGCTATAAGCTGTATTGCTTTTGAATAAAAGACTATTATTATTAAAGATTTATCTTAAACTAATGTTATTTTTAAACTAGAAACTGATAGTTATTGTAATCAAATAGTTTGAAAACTTCAACACTTTAAAATAATGTACGTGTTATCATACAGTTTCCAAATTATTGAACTTTTTTATACATAAATTTCATTATCTTATAATATAATTAATTCATTACAATAAATAAACAAAATAAATTATTGCGTATAACAATTTTTTTGTAAAACAACCCATCACAAAGAAGCACCACAAAACTGTATGTTTATGCCCGTATATAGTAAAAAAGAGAAAATATTGGAACCTTTAATACATGCCAACAAAAAATTGAATAATTGTAAACATTACTTGCTCAGATTTTATCAAACAATATACATTCTGGGGAATACAAATAACATTATGATGCCAGTACTCAAATTTTACGAAATCAAGAAATATTTTGTCTCTTTTTTCATGTCGACAAAAGTTTAACTAACCAAAGATTTATATAGCTCATATTTTTTGTTAAACAAATTCCATCTTGAGGTACCAAAATAACAACATCTCAATGACGGTGAATAATATAAAAGAAAAACGGAAAAATATTGGCACCTAACATGTATATATATAGCGAAAACGAAGTTTGCGATTCTTTACTTAACCTGCTTCCCTTTAATGCCAAATATTCCATCCTGAGGTATAAGAAATACTCAGTCATCAGGCCACTACATAATTGAATAAACAAAAAGGATTTTGCACTTTTTCGTGTTTTCGATACAAAGTTTGAATGACCATTGATGTATAAAGCTCGCACTTTGTGTAAGAAACCTACTATGAGTACAAAAAGAACAACATTTTAATAATGGTAAATAATATCATAGAAAATCAAAAATATTGGCATCTTATATATATAGATGACGACAACAAAGATTGGTTCTATTTAATGTCAAACAATCTATCCTCAGGTATACTCAACTATCAGGCCAGTACAAGAACTGAATAAAAAAAGAAAAAACATTGGCACTTTTTATTGTTAGCGACATAAGTTTTAGTAACCGCAGGCTTAAAGAGCTCTCAAATTTTGTAAAACTATGAAGATGAACATAGTTGGAAGACCGTTACATAATTATCTGTAGAAATGGAAAATATTTGCACCTTGTTTAGATGCCGACAACAATATCTAACAATTCTAAAGTTGAATTCCTTCCCTTATATGTCAAACAATCCATTCTGACATATGAAAAGTAGTCAATTATCAGGCCATTCCATGAATTTTACAAAAACAGACACCATACTGTCATCCGTTACTTTTACAAAAATTTATAAAACGCGCCATTTCCATATTTACGCGGAAGTAAATGTAGAAGTACTCGCGCGTTTACTTTTTTGTGTCGACTTGAATTTTGCAGTTAACGCAGAGTGAACGTGGCTAACCCCGCTTTTCTTTTTCAAGCCTTATACATGTTAAGTTTGGCCTGAACCAAACTGTAGTTATAAATT